CCAAGTTTGGGAAGTTTGAGAAAAGCCAAAAAGTCAAAAAGTTACTCAAAAAGTTAAAAAGTTAACACTATTTACCAAAAATCAACAATTATGGCTGCACAACTCCTAATTCTAATTTTCCTCTACAAATCAATTTTTATAATTTTTTATTACACATTTTTTCATAAAAAGTCAAAAAGTTAACTCAAACATCCATATTTTTTTTCTCAACTTTTTAGTCCAAAAATACAAAAATTACACTTATTAAGACACCCCAAACAACCCCTAAAAACACAAAAAATATGAAAATTCATTATATTTTTCATATTTTTATATATTTATTAATTTTTTAAAATATTTTTTGACAAATATTTTACTATATAGATACATCTAAATAAGGTATATCTAAAAAAGTTTTAAAAAAATTGTTTAAAATTTAAAAAATACTCACTAAAAATAAAAAAAAAATACAAAAAACAAAAAAACTCAATTTTTGAAAAACTGAAATCAAACACACTGATTCAGTAAAAGTTTTTAATTTTTTAAGTAAATTGAAACCAATTTTTAAGTAAACTCAATTTTTAAAAAATTGAATTCAGAAAATTGAAACCAAACACACATTGAGTTTTTAATTTTTTTTCAGTAACAAGTTTTCTTAAAAATTCGAAACCAAATTATTAAAACTTAACCAAGAAAAAAATTTCAACAGTGCTGGACTACCGAGTTGGCTGGTTGTGTCCATTTTTAGCAATAGCATTGCGCATGGTGCGTCAGTATCTTTTATGCTACGTCAACCACAACATTTGTTATGTTATCCATTTGATAAATCTCATCCTTATTAAAAAGTCCATTATAACCACTTTAAAAAAAAAATCCAAAAAAAACATTTGTCAAAAAAACTAATTTATTTTTTAAAAAATTATTTCTAACTAATACAACAACTTCTTTTTTTTTTTTTTTTTTTGTGTTTTTGTTTTTTTGTTTTTTTTTTTGTATTATTGTAATGAACTTGTGTACACATCGTAAATGAATAAAATTTCGTTTATGTTGTCAATTGACTGTGTTGACCTGTACTGGCTAAAATGAATGAAGTCTTGTTATAAAAACTGGTCATAAAAATTGTGCAATAAAAATGTGTATGAAAATTAAAAATTGTTAAGTTAAACGTTTCTCCCTGCAGAGCGAGATTGGATTTGTATGAAAATTGAAAGGGTGATAGTGGTTTATTAAAAAATTGGATTATGAAATTATAGGACGTAATATTCGAATGGGGTTAGTACTTCCAGTTTAATATGTGAGAGCATCTTTGGAATCTAACTAAGTAAAAACGTGGTTTTGGAATTATGAATAAGCTTCAAAATGTGACTAAGTATTAAAAATGTTGTCCTGCTTGGCTTTGAAGTGCTCAGTCTGGCTGACGCTTTGAGTGCTCGGTCTGGCCGAGGCTTTGAGTGTTCGGTCTGGCCGAGGCTTTGAGTGCTCAGTTTGGCTGAGGCTTTGAGTGCTTGGTCTGGCTGAGGCTTTGAAAGCTCGGTCTAGCCGAGGCTTTGAAGTGCTCTTTTTTACGAAACTACCTAGATTTCTTAACCTGGTTTTATTATTATCAATCAATGGTTAGATTTAGTTTACTTTTAGATCTAATGGTCCAAAATTATTTATGTATGATACATGAAAACCACCTTCATGTATCATAGAAAAATCCGCATTGCGCATGCTGCGTCAGTATCTTTTATGCTACGTCAACCACAACATTTGTTATGTTATCCCATTCGGCGCTGCTTGAGGGCCCGAATTTCGGGGCTCGAATGCCCCGAAATTTCCACTTTAGGTAAAAAAAAAGGAAAAAAGAAAGAAAAAAAGAAAACAGTTTCTAAAAATGGAAATTAGGGGCATTAGGGGCAAATTTTTTAGGGCCACCAATCATTTTCCTATCCCATTTGATAAATCTCATCCTTATTAAAAAGTCCGTTATAACCACTTTAAAAAAAAATCCAAAAAAAGACATTTGTCAAAAAAACTAATTTATTTTTAAAAAAATTATTTCTAACTAATACAATAACTTCTTTTTTTTTTTTTTTTTTGTGTGTGTTTGTTTGATAGTGTTTATTTTTAAAGTTGAGGTTAACTAATTTATCGAAAAAACTAATTTATTTTTTAAAAAAATTATTTTTAACTAATACAATAAATTTTTTTTTTTTGTGTGTGTGTGTGTGTGTGTTTGTTTGGTGGTGTTTATTTTTAAAGTTGAGGTTAATATTTTCACTCCGTAAAAAATGAGGGACCTGGTTGGTTATTGAAATTAGCTAGATATCTCACCATCAAGACTTGCTTACATATTTCCAGTATAGCATTAAATTACATTTATTATTCATATGTAAGAGCATCTCCAACCCACTAGGCATATGATGTTTGTTAGTCAAAATGCCTAATGTGACTCACTTTTTTTAACTCCAATGCACTAGGCATATGATTAGGCATTTTGGCTCATCTCAAATTCACTAGCTACATGTAGCTAGCCTTCAAGACTAGGCAAAATGTATTTAATCATTGAGATTATTTCCCTCAATCTTTGTTGCTGACGTGGCATTCTATGAAGTTAATAATATTTGGATGAATAGCTAAAATAAAGAGCATGGTTGGAGTAGAAACATGAAAAAATTGACAAGCAAAATAAAAGGTATACTTTATAGTAATATTTAGATAGGTAAAATGCCTACTACCATTGGAGATGCTCTAAGGATATCAGGTGCTGCTAATTTTCTTCTTTTGAAGTAATTTATTTTTAATTATTAGAGTCTTACATAAATTAAAATAATGTCTTTAATTAAGACTATTACTTCTACGACTGATAATACTAAGATTACCACTCTTTTAGAATTATGTATTTTTATCTTATATTTGGAATATCTAGATTAGGAGAGAGATTAGTTAAATCTAAATTGAGATCCACTCAATTACATTATTTGATTAAGGTAAATTATATGATCTTATTTTAATTTAAAATTAAAAAAAAATCATTATAACGGTTGACATAATTTTTTACAATTATTAGACGATATAATAGAGATCTTTTATTATAACTATGTAAGATCAAATGAAAGAAGGGTTTTTTTTTAAGGTCCCTCGTATTAAGATTTTATAGCATAAAGGACATCTAATATTTTTATAATGTCTAAGGTCCCTCAATTTGATCCAAAGAAAATTGGTCCGAAGAAAATTAGTTCAGAGAAAATTGGTCCAGAGAAAATTAGTCCAGAGAAAATTCACGTCACAGAGAAAATTAGTCCAAAGAAATTTTAAAAATTTCTCCAGACAACGTAGCAACCCTTTCTACAAGCAACCTTTGCTCGTGCTGGAAATCCAGAGAAAGTTGGAAAAGAAGAGGTTGCCAAATTTCTCTGGACAACATTAAGGACTAGTTCAATCCAAACCAGAGAATTTCTCTGGATCAACCCAGAGAAATTTCAGTTCATTCAGTTTAAACCATAGAATTTCTTTAGGCCAATCCAGAGAAAATTCAGTTTAAACCCAAGAATTTCTCTGGACCAACCCAGAGAAATTTCAGTTGAAACAAGAAAATTTCTCTTCACCAATCCAGAGAAATTTCAGTTCAAAGCAGAGAGAGAAAACCATTTCATTGAGTGAATAAGCAACAAATAGCAACCTATATATATATTAAACAAATTTCTCTGAGTTTATTTTTTTGAAATTTCACTGACTTGTCTCAATAAATTTCACTAGGTTTGATCCTCTTCCTCAAAACCTCATTGCCCCATTTCAATCATCAGCTTATCCGGATCAATCACCGATTCCTTCTTTCCAATGGCTTGCCGTTACGAAATGGAGGTGAACGTGACATCGGCGAAGGATCTAAAGAATGTGAACTGGCGTTATGGGAGACTGAAACCATATGCCGTGGTGTGGGTTGAGCCCAACAACAAATGCTCCACCAGGGTCGTCAGCGCAGCAAGGGGACGAAGTCAGATCGGCGAAGCTCAGCCGTCGCCGTGAATCGCCGTTGTCTCAGTTGTACTAAATCTGCACCAGATCTTCATCTACAACAAAATCTCTCGCAACTTTGCATTCGCCGCCTCCTCCAGCGGCTTGGGGTCACAAGAACTGCCGGAGCATAAACATAAGCCACAAAATTTGCAACCTCTCAAACAATCACTACATGTGAAAAAATGTCAGAACATAATGTTAATAACCCATTAGACCAGTACGCTTTCCCACAATAATCAAATTCATTATGCAATGAAAGAAACTAAATAAATTAAAGATTAAACTATAAAATAAATATAAAAAATAAAAAAGTAGTAGAGATCTAATTTGGACTGACCTGCGTGAGTGCCTGAATCAGCAGCACGCTTGAGCCATTTCTTCTTCAGGATGAAACTAGTGCCTATGAACAAGCTCGAACCCACAGCTAGTATCAAACCTTTCGCATTGTCCAAAATCCCCATCTCTATCTCTCTCTCTCTCTCTCTCGCAACACATAGCCTTGTGTGTATCAATTGAATCGTGTGTCAATCGATGACCGAGATGAGGACAAATCTAGATTTCCTACCAAGAGAACTCGAACTGTTGAGCCTTTTTTAATCTTCCCTTCCCTCCAAGAACGAGTGTTAACAAAGAGTAAAATTTCTCTGATATATGTTTAGGGACCTTAGATATCAAAAAATAATTTTGTGAATCTCTTTCATTACGAAAAGTAGGAGAGGGACCCTAGACTAATTTTATATAATGATTTTATTTCTATTTTCGAATTGTCGTGATTCTATCCCAAGATATCTTAATCCCAAAAATACATAGCCTAAAAGTGGAAAGAGAAAATTTAGGAACAGAGAAAAAATATAGGAATAGTGAATTTGCAACTTCATATACCAGATTTGCAGATTTTTTTGTATTTATAAATATTTGAAGGTTATTTTTGTCATTTCATCATTGAATCTCTACCTCAGCAAGCTCACCTTTACCATTTCCCCAAGATAGATACCAGTTGTTCTTCAATAGCTCTGAAGAGCCAATCATCAATTAAACATTACTCTCCAACTTGGCCTATAAATATACAAAACCCAACTCTCTTTTCTATCTCCTTCATTCAACCAACCAATCCCCATCTCTCCCAGCCTCCAAATTTTCTCTCTCATTTTCTTTTCCCTGAAAATCAATAATGGACCTCCCAACATTTCATCAATCTTCATGGCCTTTTCTGTTCACCTCTCCCTTTCTCCTCCCCTATAGCTTCATCCCTGAAAACTATGTCCACTGGACTGAAACCCCTGAATCTCACATCTACTCGGCTGACCTCCCTGGTATGTTTTCGCTTTCGTTTTTTGTTTTCTGTTTTTCGGAACAGAGTGCTCTGTTTTCCATTGGTCATATGAACATGTGTTTTTTGTTTTTGTTTTTTTTGCCAAAACAGAGTGCTCTGTTTCCTATTGTTCATATGAACATATGTTTTTCTTTTTTGTTTTTTCCAAAACAGAGTCCTCTGTTTCCAATTGTTCATATGAGCATGTGTTTTTTGTTTTTGTTTTTCCCAAAACAGAGTTTTCTGTTTCCTATTGTTCATATGGAAAATGATATAGAAATTAGCAATTCTTGTACTATGATTCTCTTTGATTTCAAGGGACAAAAATAAAATAAACAAAATTGGCTATTTAAGTCAAAAATATTTTGACTACTTGGTTTCATTTTATTTAGTTGACGATGAAGAACAAAATAATATGTTTGTTTCTACTTTTTAGTCTTTCTAATCTAAAGATATCTAAAAAGTACTAAAAAATAAAAAAAGCAATTTTTTTTGGTCATTTGTCAAATTCATTAGATTTTTTTAGCAACAACATTATTCTAAAAAGTTTTTTTTTAAAAAAAAAAATTGTCAAACCTGTCTCAACTTATGTCACATATAATAATGAAAATTTTGAATTTACTAATAGAGTCCACTTCAATGCAATTTGATAGTGTTACATCAGTTGATAAAGTAGCTTGTTAGATGTATTAGTTTGTAAAGCATTAGGTTGTGCAAATACTGATTAGATTAGATTTCTCATTTTTGGTTGCTGTGATAGGTGTGAGGAAAGAGGAGATAAGAGTGGAAGTTGAGGACTCCAAGTGCCTCATAATCCGAACCGCGGCGGCCGATGAATCGACAAAGCCGGCAAGGAGCTTCTTGAAAAAATTTCGACTACCTGGGATGATTGACGTGAACGGGATCTCAGCCGGGTACGAAGATGGCGTGCTAACGGTAACAGTGCCAAGGTCTTTTGCGAGGAGGGGATTCTATATTGAACCGGCTGACTTGCCGGACCGGGTTGAAGTTTTGGCTAGGGCTGCTTGATTTTAAAACATTGGCCTTAATGTTGTAGGGTTTAAGGGCTCCTAGATTTTGAAACATTGGCCTTTAATGTTGTAGGGTTTAATTTGATTTGATTTTAATTAGAAAGTGTAGGCATTGGTGGTGGATGAATTCATTTGGGGATTTTTGCTTCTTGATTTTATTCTACAAATTGTTGAATCCAAATGAATGATGACTTGCTATGCTATGTTTGGTTAAGTATATTCCAAGTTATCTTTTATTTGTATATGTCTTTCCAATCATCTTTCATTGTGATGTTTGATCATGTGTAAAAGGGTGTAATTTTGTTCTATAGTTTCTATATATCATGTTTGGAAATAACAGATAATTCACTTAATGTATTTGGCCTCTTTTTTTTTCATTTGTTAATACTAATAGTACTATGTAGATGTAGACAAATGTTTCCTAATATTATAAGACTACCTAATAATTTTAAGTTGAATAATATTAATTGTGATTTTCAGTTTTGTTCTAAAGAGGGATTAATTGTGGCCTAATCTAATTATGATCAATAACTCTTTTTTTTAAAGGCAATATTATATAAACTTACAAATCTTTAGAGCATCTCCAACAATCTTCACATTCTCACTTTTATTTTATTTTATTTTATTTTAAGGAATCAAACATAAAAGAATTCCCATCAATCTCCCTACTTCACTCCCTGTTCAAATGAATGAACATTCGTCTCCCTAAATCCTATAATTAAAAAATTATTCTTTTTCTCAAATGATGGAAAAAAGAGAAGAAGGTTGGAGACGGCGCCAATTGTACGGGAAAGAAATAAACCTTCTCGTATAATCCTATTGACCAAGTCTGCGCTCCTCCGTACGACGTCGCCTTATCACCTGAAAACACAAACGTGAACTAGCCGGCGGGTGTGTGCCAGAAACCTCTCCGATGCCTAAGTCAGCAAACTTGACAAATAGACAAAGCTCTGTGAATTCAAAAAGCAAAGTTGCGTGTTACCTCCCCAAAGGTGATGTTTGTGAGCTTTTTATAGGTTTCGTGTGGCACAATCCTAGTAGGACTTCTATTCCTCCATGCAGAGTCTTCCTAGGATTCATACTCCTGTAGGATAATGCTTATCCTTTAACACCCCCTCACTGCTTAAACCTAGTGAGATGGTTTTATCATGGCCGAACTCCAATATGACCGAAGTAAATATGTTTATGTACAGTCGAAGAATAAGCCGAACTAATTCTTCCCTTTATTGCTCTTAAGGCAGCTCCTCATGCACCACCCATGGTGCGGTCAGACCGAACTTATTATTTTGAGACCGGTGTAACTTTAAGACCGGTCTAATTCTGAGGAACCTTTAGACCGATCTAACTTTGATCTCCTACTGGACCGGTCTATCTTCACGTCCCTAGGACCGGACTAACTCAAAATAGCGTACGACCGGAATATCTTATATGGCCATTTCACTTCGGCCCTTTATACTGTGACTCATAACGGCCCATCACCTAGCTCGGCGCAATTTTCACATAAATTTCCCTCGCAAAAATTATTAAGAAAAAATATTTTTAAATATTTGAAACATATAAAGAAAAAAATATAAAATATTGTTCGATATGATAGTTACCTAGAATAGGGAAGACAAATCTTAGCTAAAATTTGAGAAAAAATTGTGGACGATGCTTTTACAAATTCTATTTGAGATGTCATCTAATAATAGAATTTTAAAATTAGAAATAAAGCTCATTTCAATAATATGATATGTGCCACATCAATTAGTAATAAAGAGTATAAAATTTGTAAGATTGTAGTTCTTGCTTATGTGGGATCTAGTTATGTTCTACTGAAATTATTTAAATCGTTTATTTTGTATAACTTTTTGAATAAAGCCATTTATCCAAAACATAGATTGACTAAATATTGGTAATCACGTGATTATGCCACATTTGTCTTAATTCAAATTTTTAAGACAAATGTGATGTGATCATACCGTTCTCAATGTCTATTAAATTTAATTTTTTGCACAAATAATATATTCTACAAAATAAACGATTTGAATTATATTGATGGATCGACTATAATGACACTGACAGTAGGGTTTGTTGTGCCTTGTTCACAACAGGATCCCAAATCCAAAATACAGCGCAATCCCGACTCCAAAATTTGTTATTTTTTGTATAGAATTCTACGATATGTTTGTGTGGAAGGAAAACATTTAAAATATTTTGTAAAAAGTATTTTTCATATAAATTGGCATTTGGTACAATAGAAAAAAAAAATCAAGGAATAACCTTTTTTAAAAAATTTATTTATAGTTGATGAAAAACAAAACTATTTGGGCTTAAAATATTTTTTACTTTTAAAATACCAAATTTTTTTCCGGATTATCAATATCATAATACTACCAATGCTACTCTCATGTCCACCACCACACTATCATTGCCACCATCACCCCATCTCCGCCCCACCACGACAGTACCACCACCACCTCTACTTTCGTTCCACCACCGTTATCATCAATCATAAACACCTCTACTTTCGTCCCACCACCGCCGTCGTCAAACATAAAAAAAATATTTTTTCTAGAAAATAATTTTTTTTTTAAATCTTAAAAATATTTTCCATTTTAATGTTTTGTCCAAACAAGTGGTAACAAATGCTGACACTTGTTAAGAATACATTAAATACGGTTAACCACCTCCACTATCATAGAAAGGAGTAAAGACTATAAATATGTTTTGTTAGAAACTAAATTATCATTTTTTTTTCTTCTAATTCTTTCTATTTTAAAATTATACACTTTTCATAACCAAATTATATGGTGTAAAAAAAAATAAAGAACATATATTTGTCGTGATTTTTTATTTTTATTTTTGTAATTTTTATATGTCCTTTATTTTGCAACAATCATAAAAAATATATATGCCCTTTATTTTTTCATTATGTTTTTTTAATTTTTATAGAAAATATAAAAAAATTATATGCCGTTTATTTTTTTTTAGATTCATTTTTTTACACTATATAATTTAATTATGATTGAAAATAGAGGACATTTAAAATTAAAAAAAAAAACTAGGAAATATTATTTAAAAATAAAGACAATTACTTTTGCAATAATTTTTTTTTTTTAAAAAAAAACTCTATTACGAAAAGTATAGAATTTTAAAATAAAAAGAATTAAAGAAATGTGTAATTTAGTCTCTAGCAAAACATAATTATAGTCATTACACTTTTTTCTATAATAACAGAGGTGATTAACCATAGTGAGGCCCACATGTGATGTGATATGTGTGCTTATATATTTTTTTCCTTCAGCCATATTATTAGAGCTCTCTTTAGAGTTTCAAAATTAAAATTGTCGTGCTATTGAAACGACACTGTTTTTTTTTGTTTTTTTTTTTTTAGTGAGGATTACATTAATTCTTATTTATTATAACAAAACAATGAAGCTGCTGCCGTTATACGTTTTTTTATTAAAAAAAATTTAAAACCATAAAATGCGTAACATTACCACAAAAATACATAACATTGTTATAAAAATATGTAATATTACTACAAAAATACATAACATTGCTATAAAAGAATATTTATGAATTACAAATTATCGTAACTCTTCAAAAAAAATTATATAATATTTAGACAAAAATACATAACATATGCACAAAAAAAAAAAAATACATAATAAAGAAATTTTCTTATAATATACAATTGTGTTTCTCAGTCCATTCAGAGAGAACAAACTAAATCATTATACTTGTTGAACTCACTATAACAAAACCCATAAATAAAAATATGCATTGATGGAACTGTTGAAATCTATGCTACATCATGCTTTTTCTGGGCTTTCAAACACATTCAGGCCAAGTTCAAGCGGAAGTGAAAAAGTTATTTAAAAAGTTAAAAATTTATTATTATTTATTAAAAGTTAAAAATTATGGTTGTATAATTTTTTTTTATATATTAATTTATATAATTTTTTAATATATATTTTTTTACAAAAAGTTAAAAAGTTAATCTAAATAATCATATTTTTTTTCTCAATTTTTTAATCTAAAAAATTAAAAAGTGCACTTATTTAGGACATCCCAAACAACCCCTCAGTGGTGTTTTGAGAAAATAACAAAATATTAAATTTTTGAAATTTTAAATTTTTAAATTTTTTTTGTATAAAAAAATAAAGAGATAATACGACTCAAAAAAACATAAAAAATTGCTTGTTTTCACTTTTTAAAAAACACTTTTCAGAAAATTCTGTTTTCTTATTTTTCGTGTTTTTTTTGTTTTTACTAAATTTTTTTAATATTTTAAGCAATTTTTTTACTTTTTAGACACACCTAACATAAATACACCTAAAAAGTAAAAAAAATTGTAAAAAAAAACTTTTAAAAATTCACAAAATACCAAAAATATAAAAAAAAATACAAGAATTTAGTACATTTTTTGTATTTTTATGTATTTATTAATTTTTTAAAATAATTTTTCAAAATTTTTTTACTTTTTAGATACATCTAAGTAAGGTGCATCTAAAAAAGTAAAAAAAAATGTTTAAAATTTAAAAAATATTTACTAAAAACAAAAAAAATACGAAAACCAAAAAAATCAATTTTCAAAAAACTTAGGAATGTTTTGAAAAGTTGGTAAAAAATTGACTTTTGACTTTTTACCAAGCTTTTTAGCTTTTTGAAAAGTGATTTGGGAAGTTGGTAAAAAGCTGGCTTTTGACTTTTTAGTTTAATATTTGTTTATGGTGTCAAATCAAATTAAAATAACCAAAATACTCTTACTCAACATAAGAAACTTATTTTTTTATTTTTTTGTCATAAGTCTCAATTTGTAATTTCACACTTGCGTTTTTATAACTTTCCAAATCAATTTTATTGCGTTTTTGCCACTTACATTTTTGGACTTTGGATAAAAAACATGACTTTTTATTTTAGTTCCCAAAATATCACTTAATTCAGAAAACTTAAACCAAACACACTGAATGTTTCCAAAACACCCCAATAGTGGAGTGGAACCAACTAAACTTTAAAGAATAAAGAAAAGGGTAAAATGATAGAAATATTAAATTTTCTATTAAATAAATGATCAAACATCTCATATGGTATGAAATCCATAAAAGTATGAGTGCACGCCCATATGAGACATGTAATTATTTATTTGATAAAAAATTTAGAATCTATAATAGTTTTCTAAAGAAAAACTCTGATAAAAAAATTACAATTATTTATTTATTTATTTATTTTTGATGATCTAGAGATCAGAGACTCTTTCTGTGATTGGCAGTAGATGTGGTGGGTCGTCAATATTTGAACTGCCAAACAGGCCCTTGGA